TTGCATTCCCTCAGCGGAAATATAGCCGGTCGGAAATAGCCAGAAGACAAATTGCATGGCAGTTCCTGCTTATCTATTCAACAGGGTGTGCTGTATGCACTGTACATACATACCTGGTCCCAAGCCAGCCATTGCTTGACTAGATCGGAGAGCAGTATCTACTTTGACATGTTAGCCAAAGAGAGCAGAAACAGGAAAATCAATTGCCTCTCGACTCACCATAGTGAAATGAACTGTTATAATAACTTTAGGGATCTTTGATGCTAGAACATCTATTGAGCGCAGTGAGGCTGCAGAAGAGATGAGGTTCAGATTCGTACATAGGAGTGTGTAAATAAATGCAAGAGGTAGTAACTGGTTCACCATCGCTGAGGCTCTGACAAATACAACTCGCTGCCCGGCTTCCACTGTTCTAAAACCAAACATAGCGAATACACAGCTGTGCACCCAAAATAACCAGTGTTCCCATGTAGCTGATGTGTGCCCAACTCCCCAAGTCATTATTTCCCAACTGCTAATAAAATAACCTGAAATATCTACAAAATCATCTTCCCCCTCCACAATCCACCCGTGCCGGGCCTTGGCTCTGCGTATGACGGCTCTGCAGAACCAGGATATTCTCCAGTGAATCAACTTTTGTGTCCTGCTCTTCTGCCCAAATATCGAAAAAAAAAAAAAAAAAAAAAAAAAAAAAAAAAAAACCCTCACTGTCTATCGCCTGAGAAGTGGACAATCATATATTTAAATGCTAAAGTTTACATTTTATGTTAGTATAGTTACCCAGCTCTTTGTTTTGTATTATGACATTAGAACCTGTCAATTCAGAGATTTCAATGTAGTTTGACTGGTGTTTTCTGATGAAATGTTCTCTGCTACGGGTAGCTCTGCAGGTAGTTATCTCAAGATCTCTAGTAGACGTCATTGCTCTCTATACTCAACCTCTTCTTATGTACTGTCCTGAAGAAAGAATTGTTGCCAATTTCTCATCATTCAGCATTGAATACCGCAGGGTGGTATTAAAAACACTCTCCTGTTTGATAGAAGAATTGAGATTGAACTGTAGAAGGTCTTAAACATGTCAAATGGCTGACTGAGCTAGGTAGCAGTGGTGAATGACATCATTATAACAGTAGGTTTTATAGATATTGTTTTTCTCACAAATTAGTAGAGAACTGAATAATTTGTTTGCTATTTTGATGGATATTCTTCTTCATCTATTCAACCAACCCAACCCACACCTGTGAGGATTTGAGAGGTTTGAGAGGCTGAGCAGTTGGGCACATATCAACTACATGGGAACCCTAGTTTTTTCGGGTGCACAGCTGTGTAAACGCTCTGTTTGATTAGAATAGCGGATTTTTGAAGAGTGCATTTGGCCAGGCAGCGAGTGGATCTGTCAGTCCCTGATTTGATGCATGTCAATATTATACTTCTGTATCACACCGTCTGAGAGCAAGTTGATATTGCCCTTGAAGAAATAATGCATTTACTTGATTTATAGAGGATAGCCTCTCAATAATGTCAGTTTTCTGACGGGAAAGCAGCTCTCAAGCAAAAGTCTTCAAAATTTACGTGTGCCCTAGATCGATAGATATGTAACTTATAGTTACCTAGCTTCTTGTTGATTTTCAAAAGTGAAAAAAAGATGACACAAGAGGCTCCCAATGTCAAAGCAATAAAAAAATAAAAAAAAAAAAAAAAAAAAAAAACCTAATGGAAATCCCCATTCCATTAGTATTCTTTCCCGTTAATGTGAATCTCCTTCCGTCTCCGCAAAAAATGCAACGCGGGTGTCCATAATTCCAAACTTCACCCCAACGGATGCACACATATCATTTAGCTCCGCTGCCCGATGCAGGACATCTGGTCGAAAAACTGGCGTTCTCTCAGAATACCTATACGTAGTGGGCGGCACTTCCCACTCGCAAAACACGCCGAGGAGATTCACCAAAGCCAGCCGAGGCGTGCATGCGGACAAAGTTGTCGGCTGCAGCAAATTCTCTACCTGCAGGGTAATGGGAATGAACTGCTTTTCTTCAATATGGATCATGGAAAGGGACTCCAGCGATGTCGGAAGGACTTGCGCAAGACGCTGTGCAGCTGCGGGACGCAGCCTAAGATCGTCTCTGTCTAGCAGATAGTTCTTACCTATCAGGTTAATGGCACTCATAGTCAGCGTTTTCAAGACCACGAAGTGGGTCAGGGAGCCGAAAGCGTCGTTGTCTCCTTCGTAATGCTCGTCTCCGTCGTAGGAATCGTAATCGTAAGCGAGCCAGAGGTGCTCGAGGGTGTGTCTGGCGAGCGAAAGGCCATGGAAAAAGTGAGTTGGCTGGAAACTGGAGTAATATGAATAGCTATCGCAGTGTTCGAATTTGAATGACTTGAGTTTTTCGCAGAAGTGGAGTTTGCTAAACATGCCGTCACCAGTATGGCTTTTGGTTATACTTATTTGGGTCACTTGAGAAGCTCTGGGTAGGTTTTCTAAAGACAGGATGTGGTCCTTGGAGAGATTGCCACCTTCATCTCCCTCTTCAGTTACCATATCTTCTTCACCACGATACAGTGGAGGATCTCCAATCTTTTTGCAAGTTACGCTTTGCATAGATGGGAAGAAATAGAAGGGCCACACGAACAAAGAATTAAGATAACCTTCAGTATCCCACCATTCCACGTGCAGGTGAGAGAGATGGTTTAATGCTGGTCGCGTATCAAAGGGTGGCACCCGTACTGCGGCGCGTCTGACCAATCTCAGTACATGATCAGTGTTATACGGCACAATGAGGCTTAATTTTTGAAGCCTGGGAACGGAGAACAGCAGCAGGGCCACCCAAGCATCCTCATTGCCAGCGCGCAAATGTGCCATCAATTTGGATGGTGCAGGCTCATCAGAAGGGGTGAAAAGTCGCTGGACCGCCTCATTTATTAGACTACTATCAATGCGTAGATCAGCCATGGGGCGCGGAAGAGTCTCGGGAGAGTCCCCGATGTTTATGTCGTAATTCTGCTCCGTCTCCCAAATATTAATTTCGAGGGTATAAGTACGCGATGCGATGCGTGGGCTCCGCAGGAGAGTTTGGACTAGGGAAACGATCACCTGGATGTCGGGTTCGACCAACCTGATATTCTCCGAGACGAAAGGGATAACTATATCGTAAAAATAACGAGAACATAAAGCCAAGTTCAGACGATGGCTTGACTTCTTCATATTCCGGACAATGTTGAGTATGATCTCTGGTGGGAGACTGGATAGATCTCGCGGGGCCATTGTACTCAACCCCGCCTTCTCATGCCCTTTTGCCCTTGGTGTGGAGTGCTGTTGTGGAGGTGGGTTCAAACAACGATGTCCACAGGTTGGCAGGACAAGTGGCTTCCAAAATATTGGCAAGACAAAGCAACAATAGCCAATAAAGGGACACCAGCTGTTTGATGGGACGCCCAGGGCACTTCGAGGAAGCCTCAAATTGGCGTTGTTGTTATTGATGTTGATGTTGCTGGATATTGGATGTTGTGGACTGTCTGCTCATTTTCAGAAGTCTGCCTGCTGGGCACGAAGATCAGGTAGCCACAGCCTAGCTTGACCTGGGTTAGCTCTGAGTCTTAATTTTGCCTGCAAATCCATTACAGATGTAGTTAGTTATCTGGCAGCAGGGGGATGAATTCGGCTTTCACTGGGTATGATTTTAGATTAACAGCAAATCATCTCGACCAGGTTGTCGAATTGGGTCTTCTTGACTCCAAGCATGTAGTTAGTTAGCAAACAGCTTTTTATTGGTCATTTCTAGACCATTTCCACGAGCCTTTTGCCCCTCCCCCCCTCGAGGGACCCCACATAACATCAGATCCATACGGAAGTAGTTAACTCCGTATCTTGGCCCATCCTTGGGGGTTGGTAAGGCTCAACAAGCCTAGGTTGACACGTCTTCGTAAGCTGGCATTGTTGGATTCCATGATTGTCCGGGGTTCCAAAATTCCCGGGTAGAAATTTTCGCGAGAGGTGGCCACAACCGATGGCAGCTGGTCTGCGCCTCCTGTGGTTCCTCAAAAGAGTCAAAGATGCTTGGGAGGAGAGAGAGATTCTTTGGGACAACGTGCGTGTCTTGGGTTGATTTGGGCCCAATGAGCCAGTTAGGGTTTCACTCGCTTTCCAAGATTAGCAGCCGGGCTGCCCTGATTGGACAGGTCGGAGCAATGCCCCCCGCGGTAATGTTCCGTTTTGGGCCACCCCGACTTTGGTTTAGTTAAAGCTTTCCCCGCATTTTGGCGTCGGTTGGGGCTGGCAGCACCTAAACTTTAGTGGCGACTGGCGGGTAATAGCCGATAAGGGCGCTCTCCGGTTCTCGGTATGGCCGCCCCCCCCCCCCCCCCAAATCGTCAGGTGCCAATTAACTCTGCTTAGATGTGGCGTCTTCTCATACCCAGTAACTAACTATTAGTGAGTTAGCTTTGCGCTTGGCTCACGCCAGTATTTTCAGGTTTTAGATGGCTACATGTAGGGATAGTACCCGGATGCCGATATGATGGACGGTTCAAACTCCTCAACTCTATCTTTTATCCCCTGCTCGATGATTCGTCATAGTTATTCTCCTGCCCTATGGATTTGCCGAGCAGACTGGCTAACTAGTGTATTCAAAACTTGAACTTCCGTGTCTCCGATGCGGGGTTGTTGTGCTTGCCGACCTTGGGATATTCCAGGTAGCTGGCGGGGAAGATTTACCAGACCTGCCAATTAGCCTGATGGTCAGGGTTGATAAGAACCTGGGACCTCCCCCGTTTGGTTCCTTGGGCGTGAGTACTTTTGTATAGTATATTTTGTTTTCTGTTGGCTGGTTATACTTGACAGTTACCTCCCATATCATATTCAAACGCTTCGGAATAGAACTACCAGCGAGCGACACCATATCCTCCAATCATGGGTCTCAAGGGAATTCGCACGGCCATGAAGGTCGATCTTCATAAGCCAGCATCGGAGCAGAAGGGCTTGCATGTATGCTGCTGATCTCATTTGAACATGCCCCAGCTACTGTGCTATTAAGATCACAATGCCTGGCTAACCACTCAAAACCCCTCCTGTATCTAGAACCGCTGGCATCCAGACAGTACGTAAACGTCAAACTGATGCTCCGGTTATCATCCATAAGGATTGATGTACTCTACTGTGTATATATATATATATATGAGCTAATAGACGTATGAGCTCAGTTCCACCCTGCGCATCGATCAAGAATGGGGAAGTCGTCAAGATCGAATGCTTGGACTGGACCGGCGGACAGATTAAAAATAACGATTCCGCCGACGACATGCGTGATATCGACTTGACTCGCGTGCATTATCTGACAGGGCCCTTTGAGATCGAAACTGCAGAACCAGGTGATGTGCTACTAGTTGAAATTCAGGACGTCCAGCCATTCCAGGACCAGCCATGGGGATTCACGGGCATCTTTGATGCGAAGAATGGAGGCGGGTTTCTGGACGAGTTCTATCCCAATGCGTATGTAATTGTGAATGTTTCATTTTGCCCCCTTTAGTTACGTATGCGTTTGCAAAGCTTCAGAAACTTATGTCAAAACATATGACACTTAGCGCAAAAGCAATTTGGGATTTTGAAGGCATATTCTGCTCGTCTCGCCACATCCCGCATGTCCGCTTTGCTGGATTGATCCACCCAGGGATCCTGGGTTGTGCCCCGTCAGCCGAGGTCCTAGCTGAATGGAACAGGCGCGAAAGTGATCTCCTCTCGGCCAATGCGGGTTCAGTAAAGGTTGTGGCTAAGCCACCTGAGCCAATCAATGTGCACGCAGGCAGTGCTAGTGATGCCATCAAAGCGAAAGTGGGCAGGGAGGGAGCGAGGACCATTCCTGTAAGATTACGTCTCCTTTCAGCGTGCAACTATCACATTAAGAGCAACCAGTGCAAAAAAATTTCTAACCGCCACCAACCCACAGGGCCGGCCCGAGCACGGTGGCAACTGCGACATCAAAAACCTCAGCAGGGGCAGTAAGGTGTATCTCCCCGTCCATGTGAAGGGCGCCAAATTCTCCGTGGGCGACCTTCATTTCTCGCAGGGTGACGGCGAAATCTCCTTCTGCGGTGCCATCGAGATGGCTGGCATCATCACCATAAAATTCAACGTCATCAAGAATGGCATGGCGCACATGGGAATGAAGTCGCCCATCTTCCACCCGGGACCAGTGGAGCCACAGTTCAGCCCTGGCCGCTACTTGACCTTCGAGGGCTTCAGTGTCGATCACCACGGCAAGCAGCATTTCCTGGATGCCACGGTTGCGTATCGTGAAACTTGCATGCGTGTCATTGAGTACCTGCGCCGCTATGGCTATGACGATTATCAGATTTATTTGCTGCTGAGTTGTGCGCCTGTGCAAGGGCATATTGCAGGCTTGGTGGATATTCCAAATGCGTGCACGACACTGGGGGTGCCCATGGATATTTTTGATTTTGATATTCGGCCTGAGTCGAAGGTGGTGAAGATGGACATGGGCAGCTGTGCGTATACAAGTGATAGAATGAAGTAGGGGATGTTCTTCTGGGTTTGGGGACTACTTGAGCTGTTATCTATCGGCTTAACGTTGTATGCGTGTATGTCTGGATGCATTTATTCATTTATTTGGCTATTCGATGTTTGAAATGCTGCTGTTGAATGATTCTTGAATTGAGGGAGTTTGCCTCGACGAGCTTTGCACGTATGTATTTATTTAGTTGTTTCTTTTGATGTGGTTGAGGGAGTAAATATTCCGTCCGCCACTCATTTCGGACAGAGAGATTTATCTTGACACGAATTCTACTGACAGCAGACTTTTTCAACTATTTAACCAACCTACATCCATTTTTTTTCAGATGCAAAAAGCTCCCAATTCCCAAATTTGCCAAACGTGATATAGTATCCCGCGGCTGCCGCGTCCATCCATAAAATCAACGGTTCAGCAGGGTCACCTAGATTCGTCACCGTGGCCGCTTTGCAAGTCCCATGGTCCTCGCGTCCAAGTCGGCACCAGTCTTCACCTCCGCTTCCGACACACAAACGGTACCAGAGCAACCCGGTCCGGATCATACTTGCGTTTAAGCTTGTTTCAGCCGTGGATAGTTTGAACCATATGCAACATGGCTGCCAGCGTAGGTCGAATATATCCACCTTAACCGAATATTAGTTGAGGTCATATCATGAGGTAATGCATTTTCGCCATGTCTCCCCGTGGAACCAGAAATGGAAATGAGAGGAAGAAAAGGGGTGAACCCAACCTCTTTAGAATACGAGCCCAAATTCGGCGCTAGTTTTGTAACAACACCCATCTTCTTGAACGTGATGTGGTCAAGGATGGCCTTTGGCTGTTTCAACGGGAGACCCATCCCGCCATCCTTCAGCGACGATGAAATGTAGCAATGCATTCCGCCAGGCTGGATTCAGCGCCGTTTTGGGACCAGTGTTGGCGGTGAAACGTTTAATCTATCCCAGGAAATGTTGGCATATATGTATATGTATGTGCGTAGTAACACTGGGAACTCCATTGGTATTTATGATTACTCTCGCTGGTTCTTCAGAGAACAGGCAGCCAGGAAATGAGAGCCTCGAGCAGCCACGAGGGTCGAGCACTTAAATCCAAGACGAAAAACCATTGGAACTTGACAGAAACGAAATAAGCAAAAAAGAAGGCAGCGTAGCGTCCCTTTGGAAATAGTTGTTATTTGATATATGTCAGCAGTCAGCCCCTGTCATTGCCGATTTGAAAGCTTTAATCTGGCGCTCTACGGTCTGGGGATGGCGCACATCGCCGGACGGGGGAGAGTTCAGCAGAGCGGATAATCTATCTGGGGCTTTGCATGAAGCATGCAAAAGATGGCCTGAGAACTGAGGGCATGAACTTGAAAACGGGTTCATTTGATCCCCGATCCATCAGAAATTGGAATGCAACTAGAGAAATGAGAATGAGAACTCGCAACAAGAAACATAATAAGTTGGTTTAAGCAGACTAAAACTGATCAGGGTCAACCATAGCTATCTATGTGAGTACTCGGCATCATAAACGCCCCAGATAAAAGAAGTAATAGTAAAAGCCAGGTGAAGGTCGCAAAAGCAGTAACGGAGACGAAGACAATGGCAGAAAGGATGTAAAGTATGGAGAAGAACCGGGTTTCAACCAAATATTTACTGACAGTAACTTCAACACGCTCATCTAACCCCCCCAAAAAAAGGGAGAGGAGCAGAAAATGACAAAAGCAGATATTGGTTCAATATTTTGCGTATTTCTTTTCTTTCTTTTCTTTTTGTCCTTTTTTCCTTTTTTTTTTTTTTGTTTTTCTTGTTTTTCTATTTTCCTGTTTTCCCGTTTTTTGATCGAAAACACCAACGCAAGCACAACCACAACCGTGGATATGCCGCGAACAAACTTCCTTCCATAATTAACAATCTAGGTAGTGAGGTAATATATGAAGCTCCGCTCCGCTCTGCTTTGCAGTACCCCTCAAATAACCATTCAACCACCAGTCCTCACAAATCTCCCATTAGCCCTTCAAACCCCTCATCCCCTTCGCCTCCTTTACAGCTCCGCTCTTCATTGGAAGAACTTCTTAAGCATCTCCTTCTCCTTCCTCTGCTGCTCAGCAATAGTCTTCTTAACCCTAGCCGTCTCACTCACAACCGCCGCATCCCCAGGCGCCAGCCGACTCGCCTCCACCAAATCCTTCAACGCAGCCTCATCATCCTTAAGCCCCACAAGCGCTACCGCACGTCGATAATACGCCTTCGCCCGATCCGTATCCTTCGCCTGCGCAGCCGTGGCCGTCTCCAGCGCAAACCCAGCCCAGGTCTGCGCATCGTCAAAGCGCTTCAATTTATTCGCCAACAGCGCCGAGTTGGAATGTAACGTGAAGCGTAGGACGGACATTTGGCCCTGTAGCTCTGGCGGATCGGAGTCGGAGGGCTCCGGGCACTCGTTCAGGTAGCGGAGGGCCTTTTGGTATTTTTCAAGACCTAGATCGAGGTTGCCTGACTTAAACGCCTTATTGCCAAATTCCTTCACCTCAGATGCGATCTTGTAATATTCCGCGCCAGAAAGTGTCTCCCCGGCATCCTCTGGGTAATCCTCATATTTATCACCGGTTTCATCGACAGATACCTCTTTCGCAGCTTCATAGCTGTCACCAGATAGCTGACCACAGTCCACCACTTTAACCTCCTTGTATGGCTTATCGCTTGTGTCTGTCTGGGACTTCTCGATTTTGCGCACGAGCCCCTTGCCAGTGATGACTTCACCAAAGACGACGTGTTTCCCATCGAGATGCGGGGTTGGGACGGTGGTGATGAAGAACTGGCTGCCGTTTGTTCCCGGGCCGGAATTGGCCATAGACAATAGGAAAGGGCGATCATGTTTCAAATCGAAGTTTTCGTCGTCGAACTTCTCGCCGTAGATTGATTCACCGCCTGTGCCGTTGAATGCAGTGAAATCACCACCCTGAATCATGAATTGTTTGATGATGCGGTGGAAGATGGAGCCTGTTTGAGGCGCTTAGCTATGCGCAATTGGATATTTATTTCCGTGTGTCCCCGGGGCGAAGGGTGTGGGAGTCCATGGATATGCATACCCTTGTAGCTGAGCAGTTTCCCCGACTTCCCCTCGCCCTTCTCGCCAGTACAGAGGGCGCGGAAGTTTTCTGCGGTTTTAGGGACGACTGTATGACGAGTTAATAAACATTGGACATTTCAAGCAGTAGTTACGCAATAAACACACCATCGTCGAACTAGAGTCGAATTGCACAGTCAGCTTCCCCCTGTTCAATCGGGAATTGAATTCAATGACTTTCAACTCCAGACACTGAAGAGAGTAACGTACCAGCTCAAAGACAATGCGACCCTCAGGCTTATTTCCAACCTCAATGTCAAAGAAGACGCGCGGTCGACCTACGTGCCCAGCACAGCCGAGATACCATGTCAGTCACGTTCAAGCGCATCGCGGGGGCTGCGGGTGTGGTTGGAGGGGAGTGAGTCAGAGGAGGTACCTGTAGTTTCGGCCATAGTGAAGGCAGAAGGAGACTCACAGACAGCAGAGAGTAACAGCGAGTGAGGAAGAGGAGAAAGCGAGCGTGAGATAATGGTGTAGGTGGTATAAACGTATATATTAATTTTGATATAAATGTTGTTTTTGTGGTTGGAGTCTCGTAGAAGCTTCTAGACAAACAGTGCAAACCGCCCCACCAGCAATCGCATATCAGATCGCATAAATAGTTAACTGTTATCAGATGGAAATGCAGATACTAAATGGCAAATATATGCATGGTAGTCGTACATTCATGTTCAGATGGTATAATCAGGCGTATATATATATATATATATATATAATTAACCCCGTAAAATAAAACCAGTCCTTCACTCCAACAATGACGCCGGCAGCTTGAATTCATAGAGCTGTCTCCCAACGGAATCTTTCTTCGCTGCATACTCTCCAGATCCCTTTGCAGTTCCATTTTCTTTCTCATTGTTACTGTCTCCATTCCCATTCCCATCCGTCTTCTGCTCCCGCTTAGGCAACGTCGTGTCGATTTGGATGGTAACCTATGCTCGAACCGTCAGCATCCACGTCATATCCACTCGCACGCATATCCAAAAGGGACATAGAGAAGGGAGCCCAGAGGAGGTAGGAAGAAGAATCTAAGCGTATACCGCTCCATCTTCGCTGCGGTAATCCACACCCACCGGTCCGTCGTTCACCAACCCCACATCCATCATCGCCTGGAAGACGCCGTTCTTAACGCGGTCTGCCTCGTACATCTCGCTCACTTTACTGTAGAAGTAGTCGTACAGCTCTTTCGCTTTTGTTGCATCGGCTGCGCGGTGGAAGTCGGGTTTGTTTCCTCGTTTTATTTGGGCGTGGAGCGTGAATTGGGATACTACAGAGAAAGAAAGAGAGTACATCATTCCACCCGTCAATAAAAAGTTTAGGGTATTTTTTTTTTGTTTTTTTTTCTTTTTTTTTTCTTTTCTTTTCTTTTCTTCTTTTTTTTTTTTTTTTTTTTTTTTTTGTAAAATATCATCCCGAGAATCTGTTGCTTTCCATTTGAACTGAGGTTTGTATTTACGAACCGCATAGAACTTCGCCCTTTATATCTTGTACGCTTTTCTTCCACTGTAATTTAACTCAGGAGTTAGAGACTGTATTCCAGAACTGGAACATGGGTCAGACGTCTCAGGGCATACTGTTCCTCCGGCATCATCGGGCCATATCTTCAGCTTCAGCACCTTCGCTGCCAGGGACTCTGCATCTTTCTGGGTGTCTTCGGGGCCGACTGCGGCAAAGACAAGAAGACCCTTGCCGATGGAAGAGACGAGCTGTTTGTCGACAGTGACTGATGCCGATTTGACTCGTTGTAGGACAGCTGGAAGAGGAGATGTTAGATCTGGAGAAGGTTGCTCCGTAGGCATAGGAGAGAAGAGGTGCTGTACCTTTCATGATGATCTCGATATGATCTGTAGGAGGTCAGGATCGGAATCGCGATCTCTTCAAGAGTACGGAGCTTTAATATGTATGTAGGGGTGGACTCTATATCCTTTAGCGATTTCTGCGTAGACAGTTATTCGATCCGGAGCATATTGCGGTTCCCCCGTAGAGTGGCGCTAACATCAAAGCACCGTTATACGCAGGTCAAACATCAGTTTAAGCCGCTCTCTCTGGATCTTCGAGAAAACAAACAAGGAGATATTTATCCCACGTAATAAATAAATATAAAATACTCCTCTGCTGTCTCTGCTGTCTCTGCTGTCTCTGCTGTCTCTGCTGTCTCTGCTATAGCTGTCTTCAGTGACCCGCTGATGCAGCTCTGCAGGCGCCTCAAGGTAACATGTGTCCGCAGTCTTGGCGCTTCCTCCATTAATTAGTTAACCAACCAACACCAACCACCGACCACGAAAGCAGCCAGTGAACGGACGCATTAGCTACTTACCACAAAAACTCTCCCAAACTCGGCGAACTCTGCGAACTCTGCTAAGGTCCCACGTTGCCCAGCAGACTCTGATATCGGACAGCAGTTCGACAACAGCATCACCCACCAGCTGCCTCTACGCCGTCTCTACCACAAGGCCATTGCTTTCACCGCTCCCGGTTTGCATTCCTCTGCCACCTCCTCACGTCTCCCACCTCGCTATATCACGACCATTCTACCATTACTACCACCACCACCCACCACATCCTTCATCATATCGTCACTAACTGACCACTTTGAATGCAGCAAGCAAGGCTACGTCTATGAAGAGCAGCCATGACATCGCGAAAAACACAGCAGGAAATTGACAAGACCTTCAAGAAGGTTGGTGAAGGCATACAGTCCTTCGAGAGCATATATGAGAAGATCAAGTCCTCCTCAAACGCTGCCCAAAGAGACAAGCTCGAAGACAACCTGAAACGCGAAATAAAAAAACTACAGCGGTTCCGTGACCAGATCAAGACATGGGCTGCAGGAAATGAAGTCAAAGACAAAGGCCCGCTGTTAGAGCAGCGGAGGGCTATTGAAACTGTGCGCTTCGCCATCCTCCCGGCCGGGTCTTCTTCTCTTCCTCCCTGACTTCTCTGCCACGGACGTGATGAAGCTAACCTGAGAAATAAACAGTGCATGGAGCAATTCAAAGCCGTTGAGAAGGAGATGAAAACCAAGGCTTACTCAAAAGAGGGTCTATCGGCGGCAGCCAGGCAAGATCCGAAAGAAAAGGAGAGGACCGAAACATGCGAGTTCCTGTCCTCCACCGTCGACATCCTACAGCAGAAGATCGAGGCTTTTGAAGCTGAGGAGGAAATGATACAGGCGTCGTTAAAGAAAGGGAAAAAGGATGCAGCAAAGACCACCCGGCTAGCCGATATTGCGAGGATATCAGAACGACATCGATGGCACCTGGCGAAATTGGAACTGCTTCTCCGTTCTCTACAAAACGGCCACGTCGAAACGAGTCAAGTGCTGGATATCAAGGATAGCATCAAGTACTTCGCAGATGATGGGCATAATGCCGACTTTTGTGGGGAAGATGAGACGATATACGATGATATAACACTCGGGGACGACGAGGCGCAATTCGGCATGCCCAACGACACTGACCGCGTATCATCGCAGGATACGCAGTCGATACAGGATGATGATGCAGACATGGGTGTACCCAGGCCAGCAAAGGCGAAAGCGGACCCTGGTGCTACTCGACGGTCATCAACGCAGGTGAAATCACCACTACCCGTCCTAGCTACGCTACACCTCTCCGGGCCCTCGTCCTCATCCGGTAACACGATGAAACCTGCGCCTTTACCTACACGATTACCAGGCGAAACGCTGAAGTATGCTTCAGCGGCTGCGGCGGCTGCAGCAAGTGACAAGAGTGGAGTTGGAATCGCCCCGCTTCCTCCACCACCCGGTGCAAGCCCGGCTCTTTCCCATGCATTGCCCGTCTCCAAGGCTTCCTCAACATCTTCGCCACAGGTGCATCACGCACAGCCTGTACAAAGGCTCGCATCTGCAGCTGCCAGCGTGGATGATTCAGCTAGTAGCCAACAGCAATCCAAATCGCCAACATTGAGTCCCAGTGTTCCCGCGGCGAGTCAACCAGCGACAGAGCCACCAACCCCGGCAATGGATAATGTGGAAACCGTTTCCCCGCCACAAGAACAGCAGCAGCCAGAGCCAGAGCCAGAGCCACAACAGCAACAGCAACAGCAACAGCAGCAACAGCAACAGCAGCAACAACTACTACAACAACAACGACACCAGAGACCTAACGGCTCCGCAAAGGAAGAATCCACAACCGCTAACACCTCAACAACCGCTACCACGGACGAATCCGTCTACCACCTCCCCCCCGGCCTCCAAGACCTAATCCAATCCTTCGAATTAACCAAATCCCGCATTTCCATGAACCCAACCAGCACAGCCTCAACTTCCACTCAACGTCTCCTCACAGCCTCCCACCACACCTGCCCGGAACCCAGCGACTCCGAACGACCCCACCACTACAGACCACAAACCCCTTACAATACCCCTCTCTACTACCCGCAAGAACCGCTGCCCATCTTCGACGACCCGCGCCTCTACGAGACCAGCCGCATAGACACTGACACGCTGTTTTATATATTCTATTACCGGCAGGCGAGCTATCAGCAGTTCCTGGCCGCGAAGTCGTTGAAGAATCAGAGCTGGCGGTTTCATAAGCAGTATCAGACATGGTTCCAGAGGCATGAAGAGCCGAAGACAATTACGGAGGAGTTTGAGCAGGGGACGTATCGGTTTTTTGACTATGAGAGTACATGGTTAGTTTCTTTTGATCTATCAACCGATAGTATCTGTGTTTTTTTTTCTTTTTCTTTTTCTTTTTTTTTTCATCTTTTTCCACTGCTAACCACTATGAACACAGGATGAACCGCCGAAAAGCCGATTTCAAATTCGTCTACAAATTTCTGGAAGATGACTTGTAAATAGTATTCTTTTAAAACTTCTTTTTTTACGAAAGAAGGAAGTAATATTTAGATTATTCACATCTCCATGAAAAGATGAAATAACTTATCTGAGACCAAAAAACAAAATATCCTTTTGGCACATTCCAAATTGAAGTACATGTGAATTTAACTTGACCAAAAAAAAAAAATTGTACCGTCTTGCTGGTATTCTCTCATTCTAGGTAAGTAGGGTACATGGGCGAGCTGGGCTCATGGTTCGTTAGTTAGTTTTTCTATATACGTGCATCACCGTAGGGGCGGGGAGGAGAGGAGCAGAGGAGAGGAGTACGAGCTAGGTATAAGAAACCATGGTCTACAAATTTGATTATTCCTCTCAGACAACATTTCGAGTCCCTTGTTGTGCTGACTGAAGAGATGCCGTATCCCGCTAAACTCTCCGTCCACTTGCGCCGTTGGCATCACCGTCTCCCGGACACCTCCTCTACTCTGAAGTTCGTTCTGTGCCAGCCCCTGCCGCATCCCCCCATTCCCTGAATCCAAGGCCTAGGCCAAGGTTCCCCAGTTCAGCCTTGCGGCAGCTTGCTTGCTGTAGATAAACAATTGGGTCGCCTTCTCTTTTCCTCCTTCACTTATTCATTTCACATTTCACATTATACACCGTCGCTCCTTTACGGGTTAGTAAAAAGATCATCATGTGCGTTGCAGTTAAGGCGATAGAGAAATTAGATCTTAAATCGTATGATTATGCCGTGGCATGGTTCTACAACTCTACCAACTCAATACACACAGCATGTTGACATGGGAGAGTCCGGACAGGTCATGAAAGTAAAGCGAGTGAGGCGGCCATATGCGCTGGGTTTTTTTTTTTTTTTTTTTTTTTTTTTTTCATTATTGAATTACTCCCTAGAGGGTGTTATTACTATTACTAAGGAGTGATTATGTTATTGCACAGCTTCACTTTTGTGACCTGGCATCTGAGTTTGGAATATCGTAGTCTCGGTTTTTCCGGGGCGGAAATCAGCGTCAGACAACATACTGCGGAATACGAAGCGGAGGTTTCATGAGAAGGCTTCTGCTTTTAGGATTGATGTATGTGTGATTGAAAATCTTTCCATTTCTAGTTAATCTGCTGTGTTGTTTGTTTTACCACATGTGTAATAGAGATAAGATTCAACACAAATTGGCAAGAGTTCCAACAAGTCCGTGTTCGACTGAATTTTCGGAAGCGTTAACTAAAATAGAGGAATGGAAAAAGTTGCAGAGACCCAGGGGTGGGAAGAGATGCAAGGTAGTTTTCAAAGGTGTAGCAAGGTACTTATATGACAGAAGACCGTCAAGGGGAAGAGAAGGAGAAAGTTCTGCCCACGAATATTGTTGATGGGGGGCTTATGTGGTTGTTAGTTCTTTCGTGGGACAAGTTCATTAGCAGCTTCATTATTTTAGATGGTTCCAGTATTTCCAGCTGGTCCTCTACTAGCTCAAGAGGGAATGGAATGGGTGAGGTTTATGTACGATTTTAGATACTATTATTCTAGGGCCCCTTACGTGCATGCCGAAGAATTCCGTCCTCGAAGAAGTTGGACTGATATACATGCATAGGCCACTGTTTGCTCCGTCCGCATTGAAAAAAAAAAAAAAAAAAAAAAAAAAAAAAAAAGGCCCCCTTGGTTCTCATCAGCAAAAGTGTACCGTAGGAGCTCGGCCTGCGCATAAGTTCAAATGAGAAATGGACATCTGGAGGTCCCGACTGGGGCGTCCGTGCGGATAGGGTTCCGGTATTTGAAACGGTGCCAAGCGAGGTATGGAGATTGACAACAATGTATATGCGGACCATATGTCAGGTACAGGCCTTCTTCGGCCTGTAATTGAATAACTAGACACAGCCTCCCCTCCATTGAGTCATTCCGAGCTAGGTGGGTTGGTGGGTGTATTTTTGACAACCCACAAAAGATCCTGGTGAGCTGACAATGATGCGGAAGAGTGGGCCTTTTTTAGACTAGTTTCAAGGTCTCCCTATCAGGGAGGCTTGCGGTCATTTGGGGACCACGGAGCGGCCGCGTGTTCCAAGAAAGTGCATCATACGTAGTTGATGTGTATCTAGGGGAATTTCATGCCCTTGCAGAACAAAACTTTTCATGCATAAGTACATAACTACGTAGTTATGCATGTATATAGGTTCAGCATCTAGTTGTCGTGCGCCCACATAAAGCGGGTGCTGAAAAACCTGAGGCTCGACATTCCTCAGGGCTGGTAGGTCAAGGGATTAGCGAGGGAGCTATAATCATAGGCCACGCCTCACTTTCTCCAGAAACTGGCGGGGGTTAAAATGGGCACCTTCTTCAAAAGAAGAGGTGGAAGTGGCACTGTGCTGTACTGTGGTGTAGCTTGTTGTTTGGCAGTGCTTCTGGTGCTTGCTTCTTCTGCTTCTTCTCCTGCTGCTGCTGCTGCTGTTGCTGCTGTTGATGATGATGGCGATGTGAGGCTTGTGTTTTTTTTCGTTGGCTTCTTTGGTGCAAGATGTTGGGTGAACGTCGCTGAGCCTAAACAGCAGCGGATGACTAAGCTGCCGCTACCCAAACCCAACTTGTTGACAGGAACAACTGCGCAGCTTCATCCCTTCATCCAATCTTGTCCCGTCCAGTGCGTTCAACCAGTCCCACGGCGCCACGACTGATTGGTGCCACCACTTCAGACCGTTGCTGTTGCTGACGATATTTGGCGACCTTGAACCTAGTTCGCCTACTTCAATTGACAGGTCATTCCTTTCTCTGCATTATCCATAGGAATGCACTGTCTTGAGCACTCCTACATGCTCTCAACCGGCTCCAAAGGATCTGAAACAAACTTTGCGGATGGGACCTGACCCCTTGCATTATCCATGTCGTCATGTTGCTTCTTATTTTTGTTTGGAAGAGAAGCCAATTGGTTGGAATCTCCACTGGAGATGCATCGTTGGACGCTTTCGAATTCAAATGCCGTCACGGACGGAAGGCCTAACCATCTGGCTGTTGTTGAACAGTAAAGAAGACCTCTAGATATCTAAGCAGGCCCCTTTGGTACAATCCCAACCAAACATTCTTTTCGGGCCGTTCCGAAACCCCGATCGCCTGGCAAAACCTTGATTGTTTTCTGTCATGTAAAAAATGAGGCGGGGAGACAAGACAAGGGTAAGGCTATCTATCACTGGAATGTTGGACAGGAAAATCGAGGGGAGAAATCACCCGAGGATTTCCCTCTCCCCTCTTCCCCCCCCCCCCCCCCCCCCCCCACCCATTGCTGCCTGCCTTCTATCAGCCTCTTTGCTCAGAATTAGGTGGTTTGGTTTCTGCTTGATATTACTATTTTTTTTTTTTTTTTATTTTTTGGCCCATGGTGCCTGCGCCGTGAAAACTGCGGGACAGTCGGGCGACCCAACGGGAAAACTATTCGTAAGGTCATGAATAATAATGCTTGTGTGCGCTTGGCCGCTTGGACTGGTGTTCTCCTGTTATTGGGCAGCTATTGTTCCCAAATTTCCCTTTCCCTTCTCTTGTCTTTTATCCAGATTGGATCTCTACTCTACACGTCGATGTTTTATTCGAAATGTCCAATCGATGGGTCAGTGTTTCGGATATCTTCCACGTGGAGATTGTCTTCGAACTCGAGACCAAATCGTATATTGCCTCTGTCATTGTTGATATTCCAGAGCTCTATGGATGTGCACGGCTCAGACTGTTCGCATCACTTCTTTTTTCTGCTATATGATACCTTGTTCAAAATTTAACTCCCTCCCCGCAGAATCTACCTGGCGATTGGTGGCTTAGTGCCATCGATCATCAGGGTCCTGGCCTGCATCCCAACGTCACGTGTTAGGCAATACGAGGCATGGGAGAGCCCTATCCTAGAGCCGCAGAGCACAGGTTCTGACGGGCATACTTGCAGCGCGGCAAATATATATATACGTCCCCCTGGGGTTGTCAGTTTTCCTTTTTGTGTTAAAGTCAGTTTTCAACAACTCTTAATCTTTATCGTATAGAAACACATCACACATTTCCCCGTCTTTCTCTCTGCAAACTCCGTTAATTCCCACATCTCACACAGGGCAAAACACATAACCTTCTCATACAACAAAGCCGTTGTCAGAATCTGGCATTCTCGCAAAAGCTCCAAAAGCTCTCACCACACCATGGCTCACAGCCGGAACTACCAACAACATCAACCCCAGCATTTCCACCAATACAGCTCCGTGAGTCGCAAATTGCCTATAATAGACTACGCAAATCCAGATCTGACCCAAGCCGTGACTGCTCAGTATCAAAATCCAGCAATCCAATATCCAAGCTCCTCCATCGCACCGGCCATGAGCTACTCCTCATCAACGGATAGCAACAGTTCCACGAGGACGGCGTCCAGCATGGCCTCCATGGGCAGCGCACAGCCGGCATACTACATCCATCCCACCACTTCAAGTTTTACAGACCCAAACTATCATCAACAACTACGCCAAACTTCCCCCCCCAACGCCATCCAGGACTATATAATGGTCACTCAGCAGAGCCCGACGACGCCGGCAAAATCAACTAGGGGTTCTGGTGTAGAAAGGTAAGCTTTTTTCTGACGTTCCCAATGATGTTGCAAACAGCTCCCTGAAAGACCACTCTATAAATTATTCACACTGCCCCACACTGCCACCCCTAGAGTGACTATCAAAATAATTAGATAAATGAAAAGCTTCATGACCGAACACACAGGCAGAATCAGATTACATGGATGTCTGAGAGAGCTCTGTCGATATCTCAGAAGAGCT